CGTCCGACCGTGTGTGAGCGGCGCTAACCACATTTTCCCTCTTCTCCTTCCTCTTCTCTTCTTCCCCCTACCCTCCCTCTTGTCTTTGCAGCAAATGGAGCTGCTTCTGGTGAATAAGCTGAAATGGAATCTGGCTGCAATGACCCCCCACGATTTCATTGAACATTTCCTTACTAAAATGCCTCTGGCAGAGGACACCAAGCAGATCATCCGTAAACATGCTCAGACTTTTGTGGCTCTGTGCGCTACAGGTATGAGCCCTGCACGTTAAGCAAAGCGTGTTGCTCCCTTACACGCACCTACCCCCTGGCTTGTAAACCTTCCCGTAGCTGTGGTCTAAAGCGAGCTCACGGAGCTGTGGGGAGGTAGTTTAAGCCCCGGTTATTGCCCCTTGTTTGCAGAAGGTGGATTACTTTGCAGAGGTAAGTTTTTTCAGAAGATACTTTGTTTCTGAGTTGAATATGTGTTGTGGTCAGGGAGGGAGCAGTACCCCCCTCCTCGTAGCTTAGCCGTGGAGTCGCAGCTCAGCGTGCCACAATTTCTTCGCCTCCGTCCACCGGGTTTTATGTGGGGGCTGCAAAAGGCTTACTGCCCATCCGGGGCATCCCTCCCCGTGCGGATTCATTCTTAAGACAGTTTTTCAAGGCGGAGGGAGATTTTGTTTGTGAATAGCTCTGCGTGGGGGTTTTAAAACTTCCCTCTTCAAGTTGTCTCTTCCGCTCTCCTCGGTGGCTTGGTGGATTGGAGGAGGGCCACGCGGCACAGAGGCTTTCCTGGCACGGGACCGAGCCGCTGCCATCTGCACCCTTCTGACCACGTGCTGTGCCGAAGCCATGTGCAGGGCCGGCCTCCAAAGACGCCGACCGTTCGCTAGGCCAGGTTTGCAGAGGCCTGATCTTTGATTTCAAGGGCACCGTGCATGCGTGCGCGCTGGTTCTTTGAAGTTCCATGTTTGCCTGTGGACTCTGTGTGTGTATGCATTTGTACATGTACCGGCTTTACCCACTGAACCCCTAGAAAGCGGGAAGGAAAAAAAGTCTTAGAAGAGTCTTTCCGTTCTCCAGATCTCGCTGTTGCCACAGGACAGAGTGGAGGAGCAGGGACAAAAGAAGTTCTAGAGGGAAGACACTCTGTTTAAACAAAACGTGTTCAGCGCGTTTTTCTTTTAGTATGGCGAGACCAATCCAGGAATGGCAAAAGAATAAGGAAGAAAAAGCAGACAAAGCAAATGTTCTTTTGCAGTAGCACATAAAGAGGAATGCCAGACACTCTGTTGACACTGATAAAAACTTAGTGTAAGGGAGATACAGCACTTTAGTAAATGCTAATATTCAGTAGCAGTTGTGCTAAAAAAAGAGATCAAGCCTGCGTTCGGACTTGAGAAGAGGTATCCACACTTGAAAACCTTGGTGGGATGTGTGCAGTCAATGGCACAAATTAATGTTGTCTAGTTTATTTTCCAGAGATGGATGTGGTATAAAAAGATAGAAGAAAGATTGCAGGCACTCAGAAGAGAAATTTTATTTCACAGAATTGGCCCTACTGCAAGGCCTAAAGATAGAACGACCAAGCCATAAAAGAGAAATTTATAAATACTGGCATTGCTCTTCATCTTGGGCCTAACATCGGCATAATGGGCAGTTCGTAAGTTAGATTGCCTGGAATAATGCTCAGTCTTCGGAGCACTACAACCTTCAAACAGCCTTCAAACTACCTGCAGCAACATTTTCAGAAAATGAGATGTAACTCTCCGTGCCAGATTCTACCAGAAAAGGCTGCTGCGACTCTGAATGCGTGATTTGCTAAATTTGAAGCTTCCTCGGCTGTTAGCTAAAAAGAACAGCTACCCGGCCTCCCCTTTGGATATGGGGATGTTTAACCTAGGTGGTTGTGTTGGCAATGACAGGGATGAAAACAAGAGTAGTTCAAAGGTTGGAGACTTGCTAAGAGTCCAGTACTTTGATCTACTGTCGGTGTTGTTATGTTTCTTTTAGGAAGCACATCCAGAGCCTTTATTTAACACTGCTACACACCACAGCTGGAGAATGGATCAGTAAATGAGAACCATGTTCTGGGAGTTTTACTTAGGTTTTAAAAAAAAAAAACAAAAAACAAAACCCAGTGCTGAGCTCACCAGAATTGGGGCCCTCTTCAGCTCCCTACTGAAGTTGGGAATATTGCCTGGGGAAAGAGCGCTCAGGAAGGCTGCCACTAGGCTCTGTGTTTTTATTGTTATTTTTGGATGTCAGGATTTTCTCTACCTTTTGCTTTCCTCATGACTTCTTTGTTGGCTAGTGAAGATCACATGTGGCTTAAGTAGCATCTGGACTTTGCTTTGCTGTTGCTGGGTTGTGTTGTATTTCCCCTTGCCAAAACGAACCTAGATGGACTGCAAATGCGTTGTGCTGCCTGGATGCTGTGGGGCCCAATCCAAAGTCCACTGGAAACACTGACACTCGCTGAAGTGGCCTCAGGGGCAAGTGCAGTATATCCTTTGCTTGAAGTACAGCCTGTGTCCTCTACTGTAAAGGAGGGTCTCCTAAGAAGAGATGGCAAAATAATGCTTGCTTAGAAAATAAAATCTCCGCCAGTTGGCTTAACAAGGTGAAGGCTGTGGAAGTGTTTGTAGATGAGTGTGTATGTGTTTGTTTCAGAAAGAGGAGGTTACGCTGCAAGGTGAAGTGGAGGGGAATTCCTTCTAAGCTCCCTCTTCAGTTGTCTGGCTAGTAGAAGTGGATTTGTTTGATTTGGGTTAGTTTTGAAAAATCCATTTTCACCAAAGGATGCCTTTGTGCTGTGGTAGGTTTGGGAGAAAAAGAGAAAAAAAAAAAAAATTACCAAGGGTTGTTTGAAGTTAACACATAATTGAGCTTAATGAATGGGGCTTTGGCATGGCCGAGCAAGGCAGGGAGAGCTCAAAAGGAAGCAGGCCTCTTTTGGCCCAAGTTAAGACCAGTGTTGAGGGAGAACTGCAGCTCTATACAAGCATAACAATGCATTGCAACAAATATTGGAGCTTCAGCATTTCATTATGTTCCTCTGGTTATCAAAACATACCAGGCTCCTTTTATATTATTATTATTGCTATTATTATTGTTGTTGCTTTCCTCCTCGGATGGAGAAAGAAAGATCCCCCTTTGAAACAAGCGTGTTACAATTCTCCTATTCTCTGGCCTTTATAAAATTGGAAGTCTCAAGGTATGTGACCAGTTGGAACCTGTTGCATCTTGCAGCAAGTGATTTATGTTCGCAGTTTTGATTTGCCTCAATGAAAAGATTTTCATTCATAGCCCCCAGCTCTCCAGACGGATGGAATTGCTGCTCCATTTAAAAAGGAAAAGGGGTGACTCGCCTTGTTAGGAATTTTTTTTAAAGCGCTGCAGCGCCTATATGCCTGCTTTGTCCTCCCTTCAGGGTGGCTGGCATTCTTCTCTCTCCTCCCCCTCCTCTCTCTCTCTCTCTCTCTCTTTTTAACAACGCTGAAGTTGTTTATTCTTTTTGGATGAAGTCTCAGATAGGCTACTGGGGATGTGTGCTTCAATTGATGGGGCCCCCTACCCCATTGTGGCTGTGTCAGGTCTAATTCATCTCACCGAAGCCCCCTTGTTCCTGAGCGCTCAATAGCGCAAGATGAGGCGATGGAGGCTGACAATGATGCCACACTCTTCACTTGGGGGCATCCAATTACAGGCGAGAGGGGCCCCCTGATTAATATGCTGAAATTAGTGGCCTCTGCCACAAATAATTCCTTGTTGAGTTGCAACAAAAAGGCAGTCCATGCTGCTTGTCTGGAGTGGTTATGGGGACAGACACAAACTGGTCATTTAAACTTCATTATCACTTTTCCACCTTGGAAAGAATGAGGGTGTGACTATGAATTCATGTTCTTGTTTACTGCTCCATTTAAAAGAAGAACGCAAATATTAATCCCAAACGTGATCCTGTCAGGACAGACTCATTAAACTGACACATTTTGGTCATGTTCTGTTTGTGGAGCTCAGTAAATAGTGTCGCGAACGCGCTGCCACCGTACCCCTCTGAGCGACCCAATCTTGGTGGAATTCATGCTTGCCTACCGAAGTCCCTCGTTTCTGAAGTCTACCTGCAACTGTGTATCAGTCTTTCAGTTAGAGGACTGGCTTTGGAGTGTGTATAGTGTCAATACGCAGTCTGGACTACTTTGATTTTGGGGAATGACAGAAGCTTGCTAGAAGGTAGGTGCATTTGTATCTGCCCGCAAATGGGCAGATTAGGAAAAGGGGCTAGACTGAATTTATTTTAAGCACGGTAACATAAATGAGATGACTTTAGATCAAGCTTGCCTTTTTGCTGGCAGGGCATCACAAAAGTTTGGCCACAATTCATCGTATCAGTTTAATTTTGAAGGTTCATAGAACGCTGGGCGAAATGCCCCTTTGAAGGTGGGTATTGGTCAGGGCTACAATGGAGTGCCAGAGGTACATGAATAGATTCAGAGCGAGGACTTTCATAGAGTCCCGAAGTCTTTAGTTTCACTGGTAAAACATTTACACAAAAGTTATTTTATCATAATAAAGGAGATGCATGATTTAATACTTAAACTGTTCTACTGAGCCCTCTAAGCTGTCTATTCCTTTGATTTCATTCAAGGGTTTGACAGATGGTTTATATTTTTTCAACCCAGAGGAAGTTGTATTATGATAAAAGCTGAAGGAATGTATCTCAGGTTCTTGTGTATAATGTGGCATTTCCCTTTCTTCCTCACAAAAGTAGATGTTTACTTGTGCCACTTACTTCCTTTGTTTCTGATTCTCCTCCAAGGTGTACACTGCCACGGATCAAACGCATTCCTGTTCAGCAGAAAGAGTCTTAGCATTAAAATGTGGATTATTCTTATTAAAAAAACCCCAACAAAACATAACAAAAAGCAAACCAAAACCATGCTAAATGGCAGAGATAGCCCCTTAAGGAATCATGGGAGTGGCTTTGTGGAGAGACCTACAGCAATGCAGTCTGGAAGGGGGCCCAGCCTCTTGTCAGCATGGTGTCACATCAGAATGTAACTGATTGTCCGCCAATTCTTGGGACCCCCGTCACTTAGTTATGCCACATTTACATTAAATCCCTGTTGCCAGGATGGATGGCAGCCACTGACAAGAGACTAGGTTGAGACAAAGCATTTTTAAGATGAAACCTTAATTTAAATATGGATTATCTGCCTCCTGACAGGGTTAAGCAGTCTTTCTTTCTTTCTTTCTTTTTGTTGATGTTGTTGTTCATTAAAGCTATATTCCTTTCAATGTCAGTGCAAAGGTTTCTGCTTTAAAGGGCCTTGAGGACTCCTTATTAGAGTGCACCTAGGATCTGATCATGCGAAACACTTAAGAATGCAAACAGGTTTTCTCAGATGTATAGTGCCATTGACCCCAGTGGCATTATTCACATGAGCAAAGTATTTTAACATTTGAAGAATGGGGGCCCTGCTTATGATGAAAATACCTCGAAGTGATGAATGGCCTCCCAGGCTTAGTGCTAGGAAGGGCTACTCACTGAAGTACAGTTGCTCATGTGGATAAGTGTTTACAGGTTTGGACCTGTAACAGTTTAGAGCAGGAGGCACCTTTCTGCTCACTGTTTTCCCTACCTTTTCAGATGAAATAGTTGGCAGCTGAAGCCATGGTGGTAGAAGAGTGTATGTGTATGGGCAGGCTTCTCCTAAAGCAATCACTTCAGTCTTTTTTTTTTTTTTCTCTCTCTCTTCTTTCTTCATACAGATATTAAATTTATTTCAAACCCACCTTCCATGATCGCAGCTGGCAGTGTGGTAGCAGCTGTGCAAGGCCTGCATCTGGGGAACACTAACACTTTCCTCTCCTATCAATGCCTCACACATTTCCTATCACAAGTTATCAAATGTGATCCGGTAAGTGACTTTTTCTCTCGGTTGATCTCCTGCCTTAGAGTTTAAGAATGAATGCCTGCTTACTGTATAGTAGCTAAGCTCACAGTAAATCTTGATAAAAGTCAAACCTCAGAGTGAGGTTTTTGAATGTGTTCTCTCGTGTCCGTCCTAGTTATTTAGCTGTCGTTATATCCGTTAATAATCTGTGATTACGCTGTTGCAGTTCAAAAAGCATCCCGCCCTAATGTTTGTAGGAGAGGCATAGCTGACAAAGGAAAGGAGACTCTGCATCAATTTAGGACATTGCAGAGCCTGTGTTTGGTTGTAGGTAATTAAACTCGGAGTTTATGTAAAACAAAACTTTGAAAATAAGATGAGGAAATAGTTACTGAGACCTCATGGTATCTCTGACCTTATCTTTGACCATTCTTGAGGCCTTTTATTGTGCCAAGTGGTGTGAAAAAGCCCTTCTTAAAAGAGTTCTAATGATCTAATTTGGTTTATTACGTGCTAGACCTGCACAGTAGCTGGTATTGAATTCCTTTTCGGAACAAATGCTTGTCCCACGACTTTCTGACAAGGTAGATGGTCCTCACAGGACTCTCATTTTGCCCTGCAGCTTCCAGGAGATGCACATCAGTAACTAGTGAGCAATAAACCTTTCATGAGTGAATGGGCCAGGAAGGGAGCCTACAAGGAAGACCTAAAGTCAATGATCCATGTCATAATGGTGTGTGAAGTTGGGGCAGAGTTGAGCTTTGTTTTGTAACAATGTGGAAGACCAATAAATAGATGCTTTAAAAAGGTTCTTGTGAGGTCTCCAAGCGCTGGACAATGAGTCAAATAAAGACAACTCTGTGGTTAGCGGCGGAATCTTTGAGATGCTGTTAAATTATTTTACATGTTAATAATTTAAATACATAGAGAACTGTACTAGTCCAGACACTGCAAAACTAGGTTTGTATAATTGGACTTTGTTGACAGGATTGAGTGATTTCTGGAAAGATGAATGCATCGTAATTAATTATTCAGAAAAGAATATTCTACTTTCAGTAGACTATGTGAAACAATTGCTGACAAATACAGTATCTCAGCTTATTATTTTGATCACCTTAACAATGCCTCACTATTCAGCACGTTATTTTTGCCATTTATATTACCGTGGCTAAAGTAATATGGATCCAGTGCTGAAATGTTAAATACTGTAAGAACTTCAAATGCTGAAATAAAATGCTGCTCAGCTTGGTATGTACATTTAATGCTTTTAGTCAGTTTGTGAACAATGTAGATATTTCAGTGTATGGTTGGCCACTATCCAGTGCAAGATATTTGAAGCAGGCACTGAGAAAAAACACTAGGCTCGCTATCTGTTCTGACAGTATCTGATTCAAACAACATTATTTAATCATTCCTGATACAGAGCATTGAAGTAAATTCTCTCACATTGTGAAGAACAATGACATGTCCGTATGTGACTCGATTTAGTTGATGACAGAACTCTTTTAAAAGAAAAGAAAGTAGTTTTAGCAAGAAGGAGAATTCTTGCTTATTTCTTTTTTTTATTGTCTAGAGTCATTGCAAGGCCACAATCTGTATGACCTCAACTTAAAGTTAATAGCTTTAAAAGGAAGCAAGTCCCCTCCAGCTTTCATTGCTAAATACATTTAAGTGTTAGAGCAGCTGGAGTTAGAAGTAAGGTTTTTGTATAGGCTGCTACTGAAAATAGGCATCGTAAAATCAAACGTATGTATATGTATACTGTTGTGTTTGTAATGGAATAAGGGAACAGCACCTTCCACTACTATTGCTTTGAGTAGAGAAAACCGCTTGGTTTCATACATAGCACGATTCTGCTGCATAGAGAATTTTCCATAAGATGTGCTTATGTAATCCATGGTATCAAATGCTATTCCTATTATCTTATTTCACTAGCCTGTATATGAAGTTTGTTACTGCACAGTGATGGTTCCCCTTGTTAGACTGCCCAAATGAATATGCTTTATATTGGATTGTCTTGAAATATTAAGAGCATGCATTATAACATGGCTAACATTCTCCCTGATTATCTATTAGCTAGAGCAGCTGGTCTGTTGGATTTCAGGTTATATAATCACACTTTCTTACCTTTAGTCTCAAAGAAAGCTGAATCTAAAGTAAAATGAATATCACCTGATTGGAATTCCTTTATGGTTCATGTTTACATTGGTAGGAGTCCAATTTCCCATTTTGCCTTTGATCAGGGGTAATTAGAAGTCAGATAATCACAATTAGAAGTCTTGGGCTGTCTTCCATCATTCTATTCTTGACCCCATCATCCAAACAGATTGAATTTTACCTGACATTCATTTCCAGGCCAGAAATTTGCTAAACTAGATTAGATTGGGTTTCCATGCTGTCTGTTACTACATTGGAATTCGTCTCCTGCCTGCCCCTACTCAGAGGCACCTTCAAACATGTGCTTGGTATCCAGAACAGGTCAGGCAGTAACAAAGGATTTCCAAGCAGTTTCTTTTTTGTTGTTGTTTCCTTTAGTATCTGACCCTGGAGTCTGATCATGTCTGCTGTGTGTGTTAAAGGTATTTGACCACATCAGTTAAGCTAGCAAGTCTCTTTTTTTTTTTCACTGAGGAGCTTAATTAATCCAGGAAGGGTTTATGACCTTGAACAAACTGTGAGCATTGAAAATTTGGGTAGTGAAGCAGAAAAGTTGTTGGGAGAAGTTATCAGAGTAATGTACAAGTTTTGTATTTGCTTTTCAGTGTTGAGAACTACTGAGAATGAAAAAAGCTTTGGTGAGGTTGTTCACAGTGAATTTTATATTTTGCAGTTATTTTTGCTAGCTCTAATACATTCCTGCAGACAAATTATTCATCTAATAGTTATCTGAATAAGAAAAGAACAAAAATGCCTAAAACATGAAAAAAATACTGTTCATTCAACTGTAGCTTAAGACATAGTCTGTTCATAATAAATTGTAAAGATTATGTTTTAAAAAAATACAGTTACAGCACGCTGTACTCTTGACAGTCTCACAGGAGAAAAAAATTCTGTGGTCAAAAATTATCTTTAAGTTACGTAGTCCTATGTAATTATTCATGACTGGACTCCAGAGGGAGAAAAATGGGTATTTATAGAGGTTCTTTTGAATTGTTTTAGTTTTCAGAGCTCAAACACACTATATGCAAATAGTTAGGATTAAAAACAAAAAAAAAAACCTCCACAAAAACCCCAGGAAAACCCACCAAACAATCCACCCCACCCCACCCCCCCAAAAAAAAAAGCCAATAGGGTTTGTCTCGCTCTGAAAATAAATTTGCTTTCAGTTTGGAACACTGAACATGTGACCTTGTTAAAACAGAATTATCCTCAAAAGTGCCTGGATTTGTAAAACCAAAAATACCTAAACCTGTATTCATGTACTACTCTTCAATACATCTAATTCCAAGCGTGACTGAGGTACATGGTACAGGACATGCAAGTAGAAGCCTTACAGTCAGGATTGATCCGTTGTATCTTGAGAAGGGGTGGAAGGACTTCATAGAGATCTTATTGTGAAGGCCAGAGGTATGTAGGAGCCAAAGGCATGATGACTTTAGGATATGAGGCGTTTCTTTTTGTCATTTAAAACGCTGTGTGTCTCTGTCAAGAGGAAATATTACACTAGGGTTTAAACCAGAAAAGGTCATAGGTTATGTGTTTTCAGTGAGCTGTAACTGATGGTCTGATCTGCTTAGAGGTAGGATTAACCTCCCTCTCTCTCAGAAAGGACTTGCAGAGAATTGTTTGCTTGGGTTTCTAATCTTATTTTACCCCAAATGCCATGTGCCCTTATTGGTGGCAGAGGAGATTCTTGTGGTAGTGGAATCAGTGAAAAGCTGGTAGATCACACAAGAAGCCTCTGAATGAAGGCAGAATTGAAACTGGGAAATAAAGAAAACAGCAGGCAGGTCACCCTCTCAGGAAAACAACATTCATTCTCAGTCATGCACATCCTAACACTTTTGACGGCAATTTATCATGGAAGACTGGGTTCACCGCAAGGGCTAACACATGTCATAGGTTAAATCAGAAAAGGCAATACTGAAAGGAAACTTCGAAGTCCTTAATACACAGGGTTAAATATGTTGGGAAAAAGCTTACGATGTACGTTATAAAGATAGGCGTAAACAGCACGCTGGAGGCATTTTGGCAAAATGTCGTGTGATTGTTTTGCCTAGTTAAGGCACCATTTCTGTGTCGTTACAATGGATGTACGTGTCGCTGAAGACCACAACCATAACTTGCAGAAAGTTGGACAGGTTGAGCTAACAGGCATTCTCCAATTCTAATAGCTGTGGATTGATAAGTAAAATTGCATCTGTCTACATGCGGTAAGGTTTAATGCCCAGGGGAAGTTACCTTTCCCCACCATAGACATGCTCCTGCTTGGTGCTTTATGCTTTTAATTCACACGGAAGTCTGTGCAAGCGGCAAGGCCCTTGCACCCTCCTGAACACTCGGTAGGATTGCGTGCACTTTCACCTCTCAGAAGACGCTTTTGAAGCAAGGGAAGGAGATCTCACCCTGACTGAGCTTTCAAGGTGAATGTGGTAGCAAACTGAAAGCTTGGCAGCACTTTGTAATGCGTGGTTACAAAGGTGTTTAGTGGTGCTTCTGAAAGATTACCTGCATTTTGGGATCACACAGTGCAGTACGTTTTTCTGTTCAGATGCTTTCTGAGTTAGAAATCAGTTAGCTAACTTGAGCTGCCCACTGCTGGACATCGCAGCAGCTGGCAGGCAACTTTGGGCATGTCTGTCTAAATATGCATGTGGCACTTCTGTTTAAGAACTTCGTAGTATTGGAACCCAGCCTGGGAAAATCACTGTTTATGACCATCACTTCTAGTAGACTGTACTGCCGAAGTGCTTCTGTGGTAAAAGTAGAAATCATGGACCAACTCTTGACTCCAGCCCAGCTTCATGTCTTTGCACCTCCACTTATTTAATTTTGATTGATTCACACTGCTGTCCAGTCGGACTGTTCCTATTTTTTTCAAAAGGTATAAAGGACAGTGAGGTAGTATGAAAAGACTTTTAGAGAACTGCTGTGTTAACAGCACAGGCAGAAAGGCAGTAGTGCAAGCTGCATCTGAGTGTGTCAAGGTCCTGCCTAGGTTAGTTGCTACATATAACATTGTAGTGGAGCCTGCATCACGTTCAGTTGCAGATCTATGGGCTGAGACTAGCAACAAAACGGCAGTCATGGTTTGTCCAGAGGACCATGTATGGAGATGCTCACCTAGGCCATTAAATAGAAGATGGCAAGAGTTAGTTGCTGAAGTCTGGATGCAGGCTAGCATCCTGCAGAAAATGGGGTAGCTCGTCCAATCCTTTGACTATTCAGTGTTTCTTTTGCTCTTCCCACGCTCCTTGCAGTCTGCTGCCCTCCCAAATAACTTGATTATAGTAATTTCTCTTGCTTTTTCAAGAAATTATATTTGGTCTGTGATCTTACTATTTTTCTAAAAGACTCTGGGTCTTTTTCTCCTTCCATTTAATCTTCTCTAGGATTGTTTACGAGCCTGCCAAGAACAGATTGAATCCCTCCTTGAATCCAGTCTACGTCAGGCACAGCAGCACAACGTATCTTCAGAAACAAAGACTGTAGAGGATGAAGCAGACCTCTCCTGCACACCTACTGATGTGCGAGATGTGAACATTTAAGAGGACTTCTTCTAATGGGTTTGCTTGGCAAGAAAAGCAGACAAAGAAAGGGCATCTGAGAAGGAATCGGCATCAGGATCTCCCCCCCAGAAACCCTTTTCTCCAGGACATTTTTATACCAGAAGGGAAAACCAGTCTTGTTATATTTTTTTCTTGCTCTGTCTCCCTTCCATCTGTGACTTCAAACAAACAAATAAACAAAAAATACCCCAAAAACTGTCTTAAAAAAAGAAAAAAATAGTATTTGCATTACCCCCAGGGGTTTGTGCTACAAAAATAGAGGATTTTATACAATAATAATCAACTAGTTTTTATATTAAAGTGTTCTTGTCTGTATGTTGTAAAAATAGGCATTAACACACAAAATGTCTCCAGGGGAGGTATTAGATTTGATTTCTTACATATAAAACAAACCAACCAACCATTTTTAAAGTAGAAGAGGGTTTTTTTTTTTAGATAGTAAATGAAATACTCTTTTTTTTTTTCCTTTAAAAAGCATAGCTTTAACGCAGTTCTAGGCTTTTCTGTATCTTGCTTGCTTATGCATTTAGTCACTTTATAATTCATCTGTAAATGTTTATTTTATTTCCTTAGGGTTTTTTTTTATCCTCTTCACCTTACAAATGGTTAACGTAACCCATAAGTTAGTATATGTTAGTATGCAGCATTATTATATGTTAATCTTTTTTTGTGCCTGTGGATTGTCTGTGCATAAGGCATTTGTAGGGTTCCAGCTTAGCATTGTTGGGAAAGGCCAATGTACTACTCATACAATACTCTATTATAAAGAGAAACCGAAATAGTGACATAATATATTATATTTTTGTAATCTTCATATTTTTGTAGTTACCTGTGTAAAAATGCTGGTCTGACCCCACAGATATTCAGCCTAATTATGGTCAGGTTCAATCCACAGTTCTTTTTTTTTTTTTTTTTTGTTTGTTTGTAATATTCTAAAACCATTCCATTCAAAGCACTTTCAGTCCATTAGATATAGGAAATACATTCTTTTATTGTGTGGGAATTTTTTTTTAATGGAATGGTTTGGAAATATATAAGTGCTTGTTCGCAAACTTGGAATTGCAAAGCAAGTGCATTTAACTATGGTGTTAGAGGAGAGGTGATTTTTTTTTTTTTTCCGAAGGTTGTGTTCCAGTGAGAGAAATTGCATTCACAAATTGCCAGGATATCTTCCTATCCTTTTCTATAGAAAAGTTGAAGTTTAGAATCCTTTGGTGCCAACTCACCTTTATAAATTAGGGGCCTTAAAGGTTCACATATAGGACACATAGTTTAAGGATTGTCGCTAGATGTTTTACAACTGAAGGTTTTTAAACACTAAAATATATAATTTATAGTTAAGGCTAAAAAGAATATTTATTGCAGAGGATGTTCGTAAGGCCAGTATGATTTGTAAAATAATGCAATCGCCCCTTTTTAAAAAAAAAATCTACCCTTGATGTTGCAGTTTTAACACAGCTTATTAAAGAAAAAAGGACACGCTTCAAAGAACAAACCCAAAACAAAGCAGTCTATTTGGCCCCTTCCTATACATTTTCAGAACCAGTCTTGAAAAAAAACGCCATAGTTAATAGATATGAAAATTGGAGTACTTGAAAGAAGTTCTTATTCCAGTATATGCCCCATTTTTTATTTAGCTACAAATAGAAAATTTGCACATCTTGGCTATGTATCTTTTTATTATTATTTTAGAAAGTAGCTGAAGGGACGTGGACATAGCTGTTGAAGTTGATGCTCGAGGAGAATGTGATGGTGAAATGTATGTGAGAAAACTGCCGCTAAGGTGTTGATTGTAAAAAAACAAAACAACAAGAAAAAAAACCCAACAAAAAAAAAAGAAAAAAATTTTAAAATTAAAAAAAAAAAGAAAAAGAGAAAAGAAAAGGAGTGGATGCTCCATTTTTATTGAGCTGCTATGGATAAATTCCCAGCATGGTTTGAAAAAAAAAATTAACATTGCTTTTCTGTATCTTTGTCATTGTGTTTTGCTGCTATTTTGTGGATCAGTTTTTTTTTTTTTTGTTATACAATGTCATATACTGCCATGTTATAGGTTTTAATTTTCTCATAGAAAATTATATTATTGACATCATTTTTTTGTAGATTTTTTATGTGATCAATTTTTACTTAATGTGATTACTGCTCTATTCCAAAAAGGTTCCTGTTTCACAATACCTCATACTTCAGTTAACCATGTCTAGACCAGGTTTTAATGTTCGTACACAGTGCCTCATAGTTCTACTGCAAACGGAAATGCATCGAACGTTACTCTGAATGGGTCTCGCGATTTGCAACTAGGTTGCATTAATTTAAAAACAGCAGACATTTCAGAAGATCAAGTAATGTCATTTTTTTGTTGTTATGCATTTTATAAAGCTGGATTCTTTGTCTGATCTGGGGTTTATTATCATAGTAGTTTTAAGCTGTGTTATTAGCCACATTGATATATGAAAGGTGCATTATAATATAACTCTTGTATGCCACGTGATGTCATTTCCCATCAGTTGGGACACATCATTTGGTATGATAGGTTATCTTCTGGAACTCTAAGTATTTTGTGTGTTTAATCTGTTATGATATACTAGTTTTTTGTTTGTGTTTTTTTTTTTTTAATTATAGCATAATGCTAATTTAAAAAGCCTGTAAATCTCATAAATAAGCCAGCTAACAGAGTTGTATGCTGAAGAATAATCTAGCTGTTGCCTGTATGCTGCTAAACCAAAACAGAATTAGAACTCATTTTGAGGCAAATGCAGTTAAGATCCTACATAGTGCATAAATAAAGCATTGCAATGCTACTAGCAGTCGCAGGACCCAGGAGGACTGGATACATTCTGTCCAAATTTCAGGAACATTTCTTACTGCTTACCTCATAAAACACTTCTGTTTGTGGCATCTCTGTGTCTCTGAACCAAACATGATTATTGAGTTAGTGCTTGTTGGTTATATTATGTGTTACACTGAGTGGCAGTGTGTACTGCAAATTTCTTTAAAATATTGTATGTACTAAAAGGCCAAATCCAGATAAGTGGGTTCACGTGCCAACAGAGATGCTTTATTTGTCACATTATTATAACAATCTATAGTAAGCAAGCAATTCAGATTTGTACATTTTTATATTGTACTTATTGGCATCACTGGTCTGAAATGCACATTTTCACCAACAGACCTGTAACAGACAAGTTTCCAGCAAAAAAACTAAAGTCTAGAAATAAAATTGGTAAAACCCAATGTCTGCTTGTTGTCTTTTTTTTTTTTAATTGCCTTCATGAATGCTGAATGGTAGTAACTACCTGATGCAGTGAGTAAACCACATGACAATTTCTGGTTTTGACTCTCTGTGCTTTAATAGTTGCAATGCTGAAAACTTTTTGTCGTTATTTTAGGAAACTGTAGGCGTTTTTAGCAATGAGTAGGTGACTGCCTGTCACAGTAATGTGTATTTTTAAAGAAGCAAAATAATTTTTTTGCTGAAGAATTTCTTTTAAACATCTAAGGTAATTACTCAGAGTAAAACACCATTTGGTGGTTCTTGTCAATAAAAGGTAAAATAAAGTAGGTGTTGGATGGTACAGAACGCTTGTTTGTATTTATTTATCAGTGTAAGGTTGTGTGTCCTAGAATACCTTTATGGAAGATTGTATTAAAAGCTGTAAGGTTAACCTCCCTTCTTTTCGGTCCCTTCCCCTCATACACAGCTTTTGCATCTTACTATTGCATCACTAAGATAATAAGGAATAAACCTGAAAAATGCAAAAGCCTACTAAAAATACATAAAAAAAGAACTGGACCTAGAAGGACAGAAATTATATATGATTATAAAGTAAAATGAGAAAAAATTATAACCTGTGTCCCAATTCACATTCCAGAGTATCTCTGAAAACTGGGGATGTACATTATCAATTATTACCAGAGCTGAACACAGCAGAAACAGCTTATTCTCAGTGGAGACGGTCAAGCTTCTAACCTATGTGTTTTGACTATTTACCCTATGAAAATATTTCTGCCTTCAAAAAAAAAATAAAATCAATTATGTAACATGTCAAGTGCTTGTCTCTCCTGTCACAAATTAGAAATCTAGTATCTACCTCCTGAGTTTCCCATTGACTAAACTTCACATTACAACTGATTCTATGCAGAAAGTACAGCAAAGGAAATGAAAAGTGAAACTCCTGAGATAACACCTAACATGTTAATCATAGTCTAGTGCAAAGGAAGTTTGTCTTAGTGCAGTTACCAATAAATGGGAAACCATCTGCATGAGAAAAATCCCAGTTGAGCTTGTATTAGCTCATCAGTTTCCCAGTAATTTCAAACAGACACCTGAACCATGCAGCCTACTGTAAAATCATAAATCAGGTAGGTAAAGTAATACCAGCACATAGTGTGATCTGATTTTTTCCATTCGAAATGGGTAGCTCCTCAATATGGTCAAGTTACACTGGTAGGCGGCCACCAAGGAAGATTTGTATAGCAGTGAAAGATGATCTGAACTAGATTCACAGTGACTTTAAATACAGATCAAGCCAGAGCTTAAACTGGACTCGGTCAAAAACGACTCATTTTTTCCACGCAGATCTTTTATCAGTTTTCTGCAACATCTCTGCATATTTTTAGAGAAAAAAACAGGGGAAAACAAAAAAAAAAGACTCGCTTTTGTATCACTGATGGCTAACCCCTCTGATTTTAAATGTCTGAAAATTGAATGAAGACATACTTATGAAATCTTGATTGGGGGAAAAATCTTTTTGCTGATAAAAAAAATAAAAATTATTCAGTGAGAAATTTAAGCCTGCATTTTGTTGAATATGCTAAGTGGGTTTTGTCTTTCCTATTTGCTTTATAAACTCTATTAAACTGACTGAAGTGTTCTGTGACTTAAGTAGGTTTAAGCCCACATAGTCAGCTCTGTTATTTACATTTTCCTTCTCTCACACATCATCTCTAAATGCAGACTACTAAATTTGAATGTTGGGTGAACTACGCCAGTATTACTCACATTGCAAAGGGCAGAAAGACAAGAATGTAGCAAGAAAAACAATTTACTATAGGCTGTAAAAAATATGCATGTTCAGCTAGGCTATGCTGTAGCTTATTAAAGGGAAAAATACTGTATTTTCTTATATCAGATTGAGACATGTACCCAGAAAAACCTCAAAAACACTTCCTCAATTCCATTGCTGAATTCAGACTGATTGACAAGCTTAGACCTTTTGTGAACACTTAAATTCACATACTCTTTATTAAAAAATAAACAAGATCTGTTCGATGTAAAAACTTGGAATCCACTTACACTCAAGCATTTTAAGTGGTAGAAAACTCCAGAAGATAGAGGAGAGAGTGAAGCTTGGAGCTATTATTTCAAAGGAGTCATAGGAATGACCCAGGCGTGTGGGCTAGATACTCTTGATAAAGATTCCTAGCAATGTCATTGAAAACCTACAGTGGGACAAAGGCAGTA